TATTATTCATTCATTGGAAATAATAATAAAAACAATAATAAAAATAACATTTGATAAATATCATTAGGAAACTTAATATCAACTAACATGAGGAAATCTTAAAATCAAGCGGTCTTTTTTTTATGAATGACAAATCTTTTAAAAATTTTGTGGTTTAGTTAAGTTAATTTTCGGTGAGAATCGGTTTGCTTTAGTTCGTTTTGGATTATCGAATTTATTTTGATCTTTTTTTTTTTGATATAAAAAAGAAAATTTTCTTCTTGCATCAGAATTGCCAAAAAATTCAATAGACCAGAGTTTTTAACTTAATTTGTTTTTGTTCGATAAAAATGATGATAAAGTACATTTTTTATTTTAAAGTTTCGTAATGCGCTTTTAATCATGATAAAGTAACTACGCTAGAAGTCACTGTTTTACAACCTGGACCGGTACTATATCAATTTTGTATAAAAACAAAAAAATCGGCCAGCTTAATTTCGGCCAAAATTAAGTCGATTTTGGCCAGAATTACGAAAATCAGGGTTTAACGAAAAATCATGCGCCGGCCTGGACGAATTTTGAAAGAAAATTTCCGGCCCAAACCGGATCCGGGCCGGGTTTCCGGGTCCCGGGTCCCGTATGCAGGCTTCTACCAATCGACCAATTGTTAATCAAATCATGAGAACGTGATTAGCAGTAATTGATTTGAAAAATTTCCATGCGGAAAACAAAAAAGAGATTGTAAATATTCCTATATTTTCTATTAAAAAAAAAAATTATTGAATTTCTTCATGTAATAACGATAAAATGATTTATTATTTTTTTTAAAAAAAAGGATAAAAAAAAAATTCGTACAATTTTTTAAGAAATATGTAAAAAAGAATCCAATGAATAATAATAAAATAGTATAAAAAGAAAAACAAATAAGAAAAAATTCCTATATAAAAGTGCAAAGATCACCAAATTAAAGAAAAGGACGATAAAAAAAAATACATACTGTATGTGTATAAATTAATTGCCTATTATTTTGAACCTCCAAACAATGCAATCCTCTCCGCATTATATTTTGTATAAAAAATATAATAGTAAAATATTATTTATGCAAAGTAACTTTTGGAATTTGGATCACTCATTTTTTTTTATTAAATATGAACCGCAATAGAAGTATTAACGAAATAGATTGGTTAAAACGTTTCATTTTAACGGAAATAGACTTTTACATTACTCCCACCATAAATTAACAATAATTTTAATTTAAGGTAAAGTACATTCAGTTAGTACAAATATTTACGAGAAAAAAAAATTAAATTTTTTTTTTCAAAACCATTTTTAATAAAGTTGATAAATTTTGGCAAAAACTAAAAAGTTTTTTTTTTTTTGAATTAAACAGCCCAAATATAGTAATAAAAATGTTAAAAATCAAATTCCTGCGAAAAATGATCAATTGATAATAGTCGATAAAGCAAAAAAAAACTATAATTCGCCGAATTTCATATTATGACTTCAATGATAAATGTATTATCGGAAGTATAAGAAAAGTGAAACAATTACCGTACTGTAATTTTTTAAAATATAAATATCAAAAGAACAAGTTTCTCAACAAAAAAAAGTTTACTTTTATATGAAATTTTTGCAGGAACCCAATTATTCGTATTTATCACGTGACAACGATGTTATTTTGACGATCCCAAAAAATTTTCGATTACGTCATAATAACAAATTATAATATTTACTAGTAAACAGTATCGAAAATTGTCCAAAAAAATTAATCCATGGGGATTTTCAATTTATTATATAATATTCGATGGATTAATTACTTTACAAAATTCTAATATCTGAAAATTTTAAATTTTCACATTTACGTATTTTTTTTTAATGGAATAAATTAAATTTTATTCTAACACATGGCTTTGAAACCCTTTATACCAAAGCGAAAAATTAAGTATATGGCGTAACAAATTCACCATTGACTAATAATATTATTAAGCATTTAAAAATAGCCAAAAGGCTTTATTTGGTTTACTTTGGCAAAGTAAGTGATTTAAATGCATTACGTGCTTTTTAGAGAAAAAAGGGCTTTTGTAATTCAGTTTCAGAAAATAAGATGATAAATAATGGTATAATAACTCTACAATAAATAGGTTTATTAAATACACCTTAATACTTGATAGTGAGGGAATGAGACCGTCATAATTAATAAGATCAATACTGCGCCTCATACCTCGGATGACAGTAGTTGTTTATCTATCTAGTAATAAGTCAACTATACGTTTTAAAGTCCACTTTTTTAAAATAAACCATTATGAAACATTTTTAGCCAGTTATTTTTCATACAAAGTATATGACAATCACGTGAGAGATAGTACGTGTAGTAAATAAACTTTATACAATACTATTGGAATAACATTCTTTAATTCTATAATTTTATAAGTACTACTATACAGTAAATTTATTATTTTAATAATTTTAATACAAATTTAGACTTTTATGACATACTTGTATAATTAACTTATTAGAATATTTAATACAGCATGTAATTTATTAAATAAATTTATTGTTTTAAAAATACAATAAAATTGAAATTATCAATGAAATTGTTGTCTCTACATTATAGTTTCACGTTATAATGTTATAAAAATTACGAATTTTTATCATTTTTATATTACATATTTGTAATTTCACAATTTTTATTTATGTAAAATATTAACATTTTCAAATAATTCGTTATTTTGTTTCAATAGCAATAATCACGTAATAATCACTTACGCTTATATAAAATTTCAATAATCAAATAATTATAAGAATTCTGGGTCAGGGTTCTCATATTATAAATCCGGGTCGGACTGGGTTGGCATAAAATATATTTTTTGAGGCCCGAGCCAGGTTTTAAAATATGGGCAAATGAAGACCTCTACTTCACCGGCAATTATCACCTATTTATTCGCATAACATTGTAAGAAAAGGGAAAGCTCCTCTATTCCATTAAGAAGTGATTGTCCTATTTATATAAAATTGTCAAGAAATTATTTTTTTGTTCTTTTATTTTGTACATCATTTTAATTTCTTATATTGTCACTACTCTAATATTTTTATTAAAGACTTAGCTCTAGTGTCAGTAATCATCTTACCTTAAATATTAACACTTGATTTAATTACATCTTATGAAATAAAATTTTATATTCTTACATTGCAGTTGTCATTTTAATATAAAAGTTTTTTGCTATATTTATGAAAATATAAATATGATAATGATTAAAACTTGTTTATATATTAAGAAAAATTAAAAGAATTAAATATAACCGATGTTTATTTTTAAGTTTTTATAATCACCGGTGAAGTTTAACGAATTAATCTGGGATAAAATATGGATCAGTTCTGTTGGAATAAAATATAGGAAAATCCGGGATGAAATATGGATTAATCTATTTCATCCCAGATAATTTTGGGGTTGGGTTTAAATGGAAATATAGATAAATCCGGGTTTGATCTAGGGTTTAAACCCCAGACTTTTGATCAGTATCGCGCGATAATACTACACATTATCAAGGTTAGTATTATACTTGAATCTCAAAAAATTTTAATGGGTGTTATCAGTACTTTAGAAATTATGAAGAATCAGATATTTATGACTAAGGCTGTAAAAATGTAAAAAATAATCAGTGATTTGGTAGATAATATCCATAATATTAAAGTATATAATATACTAAATTTTTTCATCATTCTGTTAATAAGTTAATAAAGAATTGGAATTAATATAAATTTTTTGCTTAAAAGAATCAGATACTAATATACTTGATAATACAAAAAGAAATAAAAAATTTTCTATAACTAAAGGAGGTTGTTTTCATTTATTAAATTTTAATGTTAATAAAAAATTTTTTTAATTTAGATTGTATCTTTCAATACGAAATAACAAAACTCAAAATGAATGAAGCGAAATACTTGATGATCCTACAAGAAATCAATTCTAGCGATACTAGTAACTTAGAAATTACTATGACACAAACAATCTGTTAAATAATGGAATTTTTAAAATAGAATAATTAAAATGATTAATATTGCAGATGCCAAAATTCTATTTTTTTTATTACTGTATTTGCTATTATCAATATTGTACGCAAATAAACTACTGACGTTCAATATTGTGCAATAATAAGTAATTGATGCAGTATACACAGTGAAATTCGATAAACCGGATATTCGATAAACCGGATTTGGGCCTAAACCGGACTTTTTTGCTGGAACCAAATCACGTATATTAAAATAGGCTCGATATACCGGAGTTTACTAGTAAAAGCTCGATATTCGCTATAACGGATCAATTTTCTAACCAGCTATAGTAAAAATGATTCGATAAACCGGATCACGTGACTGGGAACCAATAAAATTTAAGTAACGTGATTCGGTAAATCTTAAATTTGGCCAGAATTATAAAAATCTTAATTCCGGCTGAAGTTAAGTATTACTTATATATTCAATTAAAATATTTTATATTCATTTTCATGACCTCTATAACTTAAAACTAGATGAAAAAATCAAATTATAGTGTATATTAGTTTTATTAGCATGAAAATTTTTTAAAAATTCAATATAATAGATTTTCAATATATCGAAATTTTTTCGCTAAACCGGATATCCCGATAAACCGGATATTTTTAGTGGAACCGATAGATCCGGTTTATCGAATTTCACTGTGTATTACTTTACATAAAAAATAAAAAATATCAATCAAATAAAATAAGCATGTTCCTAGGGCATGCAATAATAGATGTAATAGAATATATTGTTTGTTTTGCAATTTTTAAAGCTTCCTAAAAAATATTACCGATCAATGTCAGAATATTTGTAACAAAATAGTAAAAACTCTATTAAGCTTGAATCTGAAGGAAGATCACATAACGGATTACCTAATGCAAACAATGCAGAACTTATTATATTAACCATAGTAAAGCTAAATCAAGAAGTAATGGTTGTTGATAGTGTTTCAGACAAGTAGTTAAAAATTCTCCAATATCATTGATTTTAATGCGAAAATACTCGCTATAAATTGTATATGTTAAATGGTATTGAAGTTGAGATGAAAAGTATACTTCTAATATTATATATTGATTTTATTTAAAAAAAAAGATCGAACAAAAGAGAAAAAAAACACGCATTAGTTAAATATGATCATTATGACTTAAAATTCTGCTTAACATAATTCATATCCACTTTTCATTATGTAGTAAAAAAAAAAAATTGCGATTCAAATAATTATAGAAATTATAGAAAGCAAAAAAAAATAAATAAATAAATAAATAAAAATTATTCAAATTTAGATCCATCCACCTAGATTTTAAGAAGTCAATGTTAAGCAGAATTTTAAATTATAACGACAAATTTTTTCTTTGAAAAAAAGAATGATCTATAATTAAATTTGGTATAGCAGCAATAATCTGAATAAAGATATACAATTATACATTTATTCTATTCTAATTTTTTTTCTTTCACTCTCAGATTCGTTATTTTGACTTAAGGAATGATTTTTTCTTTTACTTCCCGATTCGCTATTTTGACCTAAGAAAAAAAAAGATTATATTAATTACGAATAAAAAAAAAACATAAAGTTATTATGCAAATATTGATATTTACTATCTTCATTAACATTCAATTGAGAAATAGTAGAAATTTGTGAAGATTCTATTTAATAAATTAAGGCTTATTGTTAGTATTTATAAACTAATATTTTTAAAGTTATAAGTGTAATATTTACCATTCTCATTAATATTCAAATGAGAAATATTAATTTGACAAGATTCTAGTTAATAAATTGAAATTTTGTTATTAGTATTTTTAAACTAAATATTTTTTGATGTTATAAGTGGAATATTTACCATTCTCATTAATATTCAATTGAGAAATATTGATTTGTAAAGATTCTAGTTAATAAATTGATACTTTTAGTATTTTATAAACTAGGTACCAAGACATTACGTAAGTATGCTATTTACCACTAGTATTAATATTCAATTGAGAAAAGTTAAGTTGTAAAGATTCTATTTAAAAAATTGAAGATTATTATTAGTGTAATATTAACTAATTATATTTAAAAAGTAACAATTAATACCGATTATTAATGTAAGTAAATTACTGTTTGGTTGATTTACATACCTGAAAATTCCTTGCTTATTATATTATCATTTTGTTCATAATAATCAACAGAATTTTTTGATTCAGGAAGATTATTAAAATCGAGTAATCTACTTGTATAAATAGCTTCTGAATGAGTTTTATATGATAGACTAGTTGAAGGTATACTATTTGATAAATTTTTGTTTATTTCATCTGCTTCTTTAATTTGTTTTTGTATTTCAGTTGAATTTCCTAATCTCCATTTCCATAATTCATCCCTAATCTCTTTTGCTTTTGGTCTATTTAATGGTATTGCATCTAAGCATCTTTTAATCAAATGCACAATTAACTGAGGTACTTTAATATTAAACATTGGCCTAAGTCCTTGGCATATTTTTATTGATAAAATTCTATCATGGCTTATATCATGATATGGGGGTAGTCCAGAAATTACTTCATACATAATTATACCAAAACTATAAATATCAGCAGCTTTAGTATATTTTTGTCCTCTTAAAATTTCAGGAGCTATATAAGATAGAACACCATATATATTGTTTGTTGTATTTTCTGATGCATCATAATCTGCAGGCTTACATAATCCCATATCAGTTATATGAATAACTTCATAATTTTTAAGAATATTCCCAATATGTAAATCTCGATGAATTAATTTATTATTATGAATATTCTCAAGTCCAGATGCAATACAACACAAATATTTAATCTTACTATCCCAATTTAATTTATTAAAAGCTGTATCCAAATAATTTCGTAAGCTTCCATCTTTTGCATAATCCATAACCATTATATAGTCTTTTGTTTCTGGATCTTGAGTTATACCATACAGCTTTATAATATAAAAGTTATCTTTCACTTTATTATGCAGCATAACCTACATGTAAAATGCATGTAACAAATATAATATAAGAAATTAAGATTCAAATATATCATTAAACAAAAATTGTATGATTACCTCTCTTATAAATTTTAATGTAACATTTTTTGAATTATTTAAACTTTTTAAAGCCACAAATTTATTATGATCTTCTCTTTTCCAATTTTGAATTTCATTATCCCATTTGCCTATACATCCAACAAACCAATTCGCACTATATACTTTTCCAAACCCACCTTTTGCAATATATTTAATATTATGAAATCTATCATAAGGAATCCATTCTAATGCTTTTTTTACCTTATGATAAGTATGCTCTGATAGCTGAGTATCTTGAATAAATTTATCAATATTATCATTGCCACTAGTCCAATCTATAAATTTCTGTTGAAAGTGAATTGCATTACATATTTTATTACATATTTTGCATTCATTACAATGCAAAACCATCATATAACTTTTGTTTTTAGATCCTGAGTAATTCCACAAGCTTTGTTAATCTACAAATAAAAAAATATTATTAAAAAAAATTAAAATTTGCAATTATATTATCAAATCTAAAATAATTTCACCTTCATAGATTCTGATGTAATATTATTTGAATAATTTAAGTTTTCCAAAATTACAGATATATTTTGATTCTTTCGTTCCCAATTTTGATATTTATTATCCCAATAACTTATATTTCCATCAATCCGCTTTGCTCTATATACTTCACCAAACCCACCTTTTGCAATATACTTAATATCATACAATTTACTATAAGGTATCCATTCCAATGCCTCTTTTACATCACAAGCTGATAGCTGAGTATCTTGAATAAATTTATCAATATTATCATTACCACTAGTCCAATCCATGAATTTATGTTGAAAATGAATTGCATTGCATATTTTATTGCACTTTTTACATTTATTATTCAAAACCATCATATAATTTTTTGTTTCTGGATCCTGAGTTATTCCATAAAATTCATATTCAATTTTAATCTACAAATGTAATAATATGTCAGAAAAATAAAATTTTAAAATTTTGTT